TTTAAGTGATTCTTGATAAAGGTCAACCAAATGTTTCGGTGTACAACAGGTACGTGACCAATGACCATTCCCACCACAATGATAACACGAGTCTTCAGAGTGGTTATTACTTCCACTAGTTTTTCTTTTGCGATTTTCATCATTCTTTACCCTCTGAGTAGGAATTTGAGCCACTTCGGTTATGACCACGACCACGTCCACGGTCAATGTGACGGCCTCGTGCACGTCCATGTCCTTGTCCACGACCACGTGTTGGTCCATTTACTGCTACATTCGCTTCTGGGAATGGAGTGGAGCCGGTTGGACGAGATTCATGATTTTTCATTAAAAACTCATTATTTTGCTCGGCTACAAGAAGGCAAGAAATTAGTTCAGAATACTTTTTGAAGCCTTTTTCACAATATTGCTGCTGCAGGAGCACATTGGATGCATGAAATGTGGAGAATGTTTTCTCTAACATGTCTTCATCAGTGACTTTTTCTCCACATAATTTCAGTTGAGAATTGATTCTAAATATCGCAGAATTATACTCACTAACGGATTTAAAATCTTGTAAGCGCAAGTGCATCCATTCATAATGAGCTTTTGGGAGAATGACAATTTTATGGTGGTCATACCTTTCTTTCAAATTGTTCCAAAGAATGAGTGGGTCTTTAATGGTCAAATATTTCATTTTTAGTCCTTCATGTAAATGATGGCGTAAAAAGATTATAGCTTTAGCATTTTTTTTGATTAGATGCCTTATTTTCTGCCTTAATTGTGTCTCCCAGACCATTGGCATTTAGGTGAATTTCCGCATCTAGTACCCAAGATAAGTAGTTCTTCCCAGAAATGTCAAGAGCCACAAACTCAAGTTTTGTAAAGTTTGACATGATGGCACTACCACAAAAAAATATAATATTAAAATTTGCTATGTATGGAAATTACATTGCTCTTCGTTAATGAGAAGAGAAAAAAAGAATTATAAATTACTAAAAGGAAACAAATGAAAAGAAAATTAAATGAGAAAGAGACAAAATTTAATTCCTTTCATATTTAAAAGGAGCACAAAACAATATATGGATTAAAAGACAAAACTTAATTAAAAAAAATGAACACTTGGAGTGGATTTAATCGACATATTCTTTAATAAATCCTCTTGAAGTCCCCAAAAAAAAAATACTATACGATTGTTCAAATGAGTGATTAGGACATGGTCTTTGTCGACTTCTATGTCAAAGTTGCGTTCTGGACATTCCCAGGACTTCAAGGGGTGATAACGATGAATTGTAAACGCTGAATCACTCCTGAATTGGCAAGACGGTATAATGGATAACGGCTCTCATCTTCTCTTTTTCTCCCGAGTTTAAAAGAAAAATTAATTTGTCCCAATAATAATTACTCCTCAGGTCTTATTTATGGGGCAGAGAGAGAAGTTTTTTTGGTCCTATTTATAAGTCACTTCATTAAATTTTCAATGTGAATATATTATTTTGTCCTTCATTTATTATAGTGTAGGTGGTTATTTCTTTTGAAATGTGCATATATTAAATATGGGTAAAGTTAGAAAATTGTTATATTTTAATGAAGAGTTAATATATTTTAAGATTTTTCTTAGTCTGTACAAAATATGTTAGAAGTGTCTTATAAATAGGATAAAAGAGTATTATTTTGCCACCAATAGTTAGTAACTTAGTATTGATCAACGAAATGACAAAAAAAATTAAATTATTTAACCTAGTATTGATCAACGAAATGACAAAAAAATTAAATTATTTTAAAAAAACGTAACTCAAGTTATTTATATCTATTATATTAAGTTTTTCAATCACGAATGATCATATATTTTTTTTTTGTTTTATGTGAATTTATGATTAAATATTATTAAATATTAATATTTCAAAAAATTGGACTAGTCTAACACTGATGATAAGGATAAGGTTTAGATAAAAAAAAACTTTGGTCTATTTACTTACGTACAATATATTCTTTCAATTAAACTCCAGTATATGAATTCTTTTAATAATAAAAATTCACATGAATAACATTTTAAAATTATGTTAAACTATCATTGATGCTAAAAATGACACGTGGCAAGATTTGATTGGGAAAAATGTACATAATGAATATAAGCAAATCCACCTAAAGTTTGTTAGAAAAATAAAAATAAAAATATTCAAACAGAAATTTTTTATTTCATATTTATATAATGAAAATTTGATGTTGAATAAAAAAATATAAAAATCACCCGTACTAAACATTTGATTTTACTAAAGCATATTTTTAGTCTTTTAACTTTATACAATATTTTAATTTAGTCTCTAAATTTTAAAAAGTACATTTCTAGTCTTTTAAGTCTAAAATAATTAAAAAATGATGATATTGAGAATTTGAATGTTAATAAAATATTCTCAAATATTACTATACAACCTCTTGTCTTAAATATAAGAATTAGTTAGCTAATTTGAGTAAATTAAAAAAATAAGTTAAATTAGTTATTTGTAATAAATAGATGTTGTCTTTTCTAAAATATTTTTGTTAATCAAGTGTATTAGTTAGAACTAACATTTTTAGAAGGACTACCATAAAAAAATAAATAAATATAAGAGACAAAATAAATTAAGATCTTATATTTAAAATTAAAATAACAGTTGAACAAAAGTTTATATTAAAGTCAAACAACTACGGTTGCTTAAAAAAACATCATTCAAGATTACTTTTGGCTTGAGGCCGGTACAGGATGAAACCGCTAATCATTTTAACCGCAGGCCTCGTTGATTATTATTAGGGGAAATCACAAATAAAGACCCTCGAATTAGCAAAATCACTCTATGGTCACCTGAATATGTCAAATTACCATGAGGAACCCGGTCTCAAATTGTAATTATGAAATCATGGCCAAATTACCAAAATACCCCTCTTTAATTTTTTTTTAAAGGAAGCCACTGCCTCACCGGAATCTGGCCACCTCCGGCGGCCGCTTCCGGCGGCCTTCCTTTGTTTTTTTTTTTGCAACTTTTTTTTTTTTTAAATAGTGGGGGAAGTGAGGTTGGGGGGATTTGATCCCCCAACCTAATGCTTCCCAAAATAAGGAATGACCATTGAGCCAACAAATTTTTGTTAACATTATAATGCAAAAAAAAAAAAAAAGTTAACTCATTTACTTTTGTTCAGGTGATACAACAATACATTTGGAAATAACAAGTTCTGATTGTAAAATAACACGTCTGGAATAAAAATTTAACAATATGTTTTTTTTATAACAATAAATTTTGTTGCAGGCAATAACAACAATACATTTAAAAATAACAAGTTCTGATTATAAATAACAAGTTTGGAATTAAAATTTAACAACACGTTTTTTTTTTATAACAACACACTTTGTTTCAAGTGATAACAACAATACATTTAAAAATAACAAGTTCTGATTATAAGATAATAAGTCTGGGATTAAAATTTAACAACACGTTTTTTTATAGCAACACACTTTGTTTCAGGTGATAACAACAATACATTTGGAAATAACAAGTTCTGATTATAAAATAACAAGTCTGGAATTAAAATTCAACAGCACCTTTTTTTTATAACAATTAATTATTTTATACTTTTGGAAAATAAATTATTTATAACTTATAAAAAGTACTTGTAATCTATTTAATTTGCTAAAAAGATAATTTTTATCTCCAATTTATAATCAGAACTTGAAGTATAATTTTTTATAGATTAAAAATACTTTTTTATTGTTCAAATTTATAAATAAAATTTAGGGAAAATGGCAACACACTTTTTTAATTTTTTTTAAAATTTTTTTTAATCTATATATCTATACAACTTATTATAAATCAAACTACTTCTTATAAATTATAAATAGTACAATTTATTGTGGATTAAAAATACTTTTTGACTGCTTAAATTTATAAATGAAATTTATCTCTAATTTATAATTAAAAATACTATTTTATTCTTTAAATATAAAAACTATTTTTAATATTTAAAGAATGAAATAATATAAAATTTATACTATGATTAATAGATTAAAAATGCCTTATTATAAATACTTTATAATTTATAAGAAGTAGTTTGATTTATAATGAGTTGTATAGATATACAGATTAAAAAGTATTTTTTAGAGAAATAAATATATTAAAAATATTTTTTATAAGTTATAAATAATTTATTTTTTAAAAGTATAAAATAATTAATTGTTATAAAAAAACGTGTTGTTAAATTTTAATCCCAGACTTATTATCTTATAATCAGAACTTGTTATTTTTAAATGTATTGTTGTTATCACTTGAAACAAAGTGTGTTGTTATAAAAAAACGTGTTGTTAAATTTTAATCCCAAACTTGTTATTTTATAATCAGAACTTGTTATATTTAAATGTATTGTTGTTATTGCCTGCAACAAAATTTATTGTTATAAAAAAATATATTGTTAAATTTTTATTCCAGACGTGTTATTTTACAATCAGAACTTGTTATTTCCAAATGTATTGTTGTTATCACCTGGAACAAGAGTAAATGAGTTAACTTATATTTTTTTTTGCATTATAATGTTAACAAAAATTTGTTGGCTCAATGGTCATTCCTTATTTTGGGAAGCATTAGGTTGGGGGATCAAATCCCCCCAACCTCACTTCCCCCACTATTGAAAAAAAAAAGTTGCAAAAAAAAAAAAAACAAAGGAAGGCCGCCGGAAGCGGCCGCCGTCGCTCCGGCGGCGGAGCTCCGGACAGTGGCCTGAAGCGGCCGCCGGAGCTCCGGCACCGGGGCCGAATTCGGTGAGGCAGTGGCTTCCTTAAAAAAAAAAAATTAAAGAGGGGTATTTTGGTAATTTGGCCATGATTTCATAATTACAATTTGAGACCGGGTCCCTCATGGTAATTTGGCATATTCAGGTGACCATAGAGTGATTTTGCTAATTTGAGGGTCTTTATTTGTGATTTCCCCTTATTATTATTATTTTTCCATATATCTTTTTGGATAATGACAAACCGAGAAGCCACGCAAGGCTTGGTCAGCTGGGTAGCAGCTGGAACAAAACATAAGACGCATGCAAATGCAAAGCAGAGGATTCTCAGGCGAGACGCAAAGCATTGGCTTTTTCTGGAATCGTTGGTTAGAGTTTTCTGAGTAACCAAACAGGAAATCCTGGGAGCCAATGAGGATTTCCACCACCATGTTATCCCCTATCAGATGCCCTGGCAAGCCCTCCGCTCTCTTTTGCTTCTCGCCATTCAAACCCCATAATATTGTTTCTATCAAGAAATCATCTTTTCTCGATATTCCGGTCTCAGTCAAGCAACACCGATATCTCTGCATGTCTTCGAGTGCTCGATCAGATGATGGATCTCAGAAATCATCGATTCAGGTTTTTTTCTTGGCTCAATATTTCGGGTGTTTTTTCCCCTTGCAAAAAGAAATGATTCTTCTTGATGATGTGGAGGATTCTGACCTTTAAGTACTTACTGTGCTCTGGATGATAAAAAAATAATAGTTTTCATTCTTAATTGTATCACGTGTAAAGATAACATTTTGGATTCTGAATTCTCAAATATGATTTCTCTGCAGGGAGGGGAAGCATTTTTCAGGAGCGTTTTGGAAGGAATGCAATCAGTGTATTTGAGTAGAAACCCCACAGCGAAGGCCATCTTGGACCTTGTTGAATCTGCTGACAAGAGTCAAATATGCTATGACCATCTGGCATTCAGGACATTTGGGGTAATTTTCTGGCTTAATTTGCCGAGTTTACTCCATCTCCAATGTCCTTGTGTAACTTATTGTGTATTTTGCTGCTTTGGATACTAATGCTGTAATGCTTTGGATACTAACTTATTGTGTATTTTACGGAGCTCATTTCAATTATTTACTCACATTCCAATTTTTCTGTTCTGTCTGTCTTACGCGCCACTATATGCATTATGCAACGATTAGTTACTTGAGAGATCTGAATTCTTTTGCTGTGTGGACTAAGTATAACAACAATACATTGGTTACAAAATTTTCTTATTTAGATTTCATTTGGAGACCTTCCTCCAATATCCTCCACCAGGTGCAAAGACTGAAGAGGCATTCGTGTGCAGGCTCAGCCTATATAAATTTGCCAATTTGTTAATTTATTTGTTTATGCATTACGTAATAGTTTCCTTGAAATGAATGATAAATGTTCTGTTTTTGCCCCTTGCCCTTGCAAATGTGGAACATTGCAGGTGAATGGTTATGGCATTGACTCGATGGCTAGTTTTTTTCTGGATTATGGCTATACACCTCAGGAGGAGCTGAGGTTTCCAGTTAAAAAGCTGAAAGCACTGTGGTTTTCTCCTCCTAGAAACTCATTTCCTGGAAGTGGCAGTGGTATTTATGGGCCTTTGCCAAGAGTTTTCATTTCAGAGTTACTTGTAGACCAGATGAGTCCACAAGCTCAGGTTTGTTCCCGAGAACACTCATCAATTGCTGTCCCCTTTTCATTTTTTTGCTTTTAGTATTACATGATAGTTTCCCCAGTCATTAAAGTATGATGCGCTTTCTTGTTTATGGTTTATTCCTGCTAGGCCTTTTGTAGTATGTCTTTTCTCTTTCTTGGCAAAGTCGAACAGCAGATTAGCTTCTTGTTTTTTTTCCCCTTCTTCTTCTTCTTCCAGTTGCAATGTACTCATTATTCATTCCTTAATGGTATTAAATTCACGTATAAATCTTTCCATCTTGCAGAGTATCTTGAAAAAATTATCATTTATTTGTGTTAAACTCTTAACGGTTGTTTATTCAATTTGAGCGAAAAAGACGAGGGATGTTATTGTTTTATCCATCTCAATTGTAAAGGTTGTGTTTTATGACATAAGCAAGTTGATGGCTGTGCTTGTGGAATTGTGTCTTGAGATCAAATTGGATTATCTCCAGTCATACATTTGAAGAGAAAACGATAGAAAAGAAAGTGACTCTAGATACGATGTGCTTCCCTTCTTGTAACCCAGTATTTCTTTTTCTCTTCCTCTTGATGCATTATATGTGCTTATTCTTGTAACTGCAGCGTATCTGATATGGTTCTGAGCTAGGGTTGCATCCCATGAAGTCATGTGGCTAAAACAGCTTTGTAATTATAAAAATCCTGATTGTAATTTTAAGGAAATGAATCCTTATGTGTTCTGTGTGGTTAAGAGCACTATCTTTTGTGTACTTGGTGAAACAAAGATTAGATACACTAATATGCACTTTATCATATCACTTTAGTATCTTTTAAAATCGAGATGTATTATGAGTGGCTGCATTGTGATCTGCATTATGCTATGTTATATTTCTGAAGTTCATATCTGAAGTATTACAATTTGCTGGAACTTGCTTGCAAGATGGCACCTATGACCTATACTTTTCACTCCAATCGCTAAAGCATGTTTAATTCATGTTGGAATAAATTTTCAGGAAATAATCACAAGATATACCAGTACTTGTGGTAACGGACACAAGTATGCGGCTTTAGCGAGTTCTCTTGGAGTTTTAGCATGGGACAAGCCCTCGTATTCTGAATTTCAAACATTGGCAAGGTATTTGATATTCTCAATATACAATGGAGAATGTTGTGAACAATAAATCAACTTCAATGCTAAATCATTCTGCAATCTTTGCATCTGTGATACGGATAACATATTCTGAATAAATGAGGTGATTGAACCTGTGTCTTTTTTGGGAAGCTTTCTAAGTAATTTATGGTTTTTATGCACAGCGAAAGCGAGTATGCTGCATGGACCCTAGTCAATGGATATGCCCTGAACCATGTTACTATTTCCACTCATCGACTGAAGTCACATTTGAGAAATATAAAGGATCTGAACCAGTTTATTGAGGATAACAATCTCAGATTGAATTCTGAAGGAGGAGTCCTGAAAGGTTTGTACCTTAATTTGTTACTGGGTATGCTAGAGTCTCCTAGATTTTACTAATCATTTCAGCATTTATTATGAATTAACAGGCAATATGGTCTGGTTTTCATTGAGATGTGAAAACTGAAAACAAGGGTGCAAAAGTGTCGCCTTCTCTTGTTTGAGCCTGCTATTTTTTTGTTGTTGGGATAAAATTAGGTGGTATTTTCGTGCCTTGTTATAATGGAATAAATCTTACTGATCATGACTAAATGCTAGGAAAGGAAATTTAATCCTGGAACGATGTCACTCTTATGTAAAATGGATTGAAATAAAAGGATAATAACATGACAAGGAGGGAAAAAAAAAGAAGAAGATAAAACCTGGATATAAATCGTCTGAATTTTTCTTCCCTGAAGTTTCATGAAGTTGTTTGGTTTTGCAGCTTTTTGTCCTGGGACATCTATACTGCTTTTCTATCATTAACTAAATTCAAAGGAACCCAGCTTGACGAAATCATCATTGGCTTTATTACGTGTTTTTCATTTGACTGTTCCAGAGTTGAGCAAACATTATGTTTCTTGATTCATTTGCTTATCATTTTGCTCCTTGATTGCACTCACTGAATGGTGATTCAGAATTGAACGAACTATATATGTATGCGGAGCATGATTTTCTAATTCACAAGACAAGTAATGGCCATGCTAACTTCAAGGTCCGTTTGGTATAAAATGGGAATGCAAATGAGGAAACTCTCTCCTTTATACATGGGAAACACACTTTCTAAGAAAGTCACTTTGTCGTCTTTCCCTCACATTTTTCCCTTTCCTCAAATTTGTTTCCCATGCATCAGATGCAGCATAAAAGTACTGAATATCAAAATCCTGTAGATTATTGCAATTTATTCTTCATTGCTAAGAAGGATCATATGATACGACTTAATATTTGTTCAATCCCCAGTGAGCCCTGACGGTCTTCTCTTGCAAAGCTCAACTGTGGCTGATTCAACCGATTTCCAGTTCTCTGATGGTATAACCAAATCTGTTCCTCGCTCTTACATCGAATTTGCTGAGCGCCTTGTACTTCCCCAATACAGAAATTTGCCTGACTCAGAGGTAAACATCATTCTTTCCCACTGAATCTAAATTTCCGGGCTTATACTTTCTATGGAAGTTTTTATAATCTGAAAGTTTAATCAAGCTCTTGGCTTGAGATCAATTGTTGACCCTGATGATTTGAATGAATATATTACATAAAAGTTTGCTGTTTATTGATGTGACATCATATCAATATATTATTATATTATAAAAATCAAATCATTCACTAGCAAAGTTAGTCTCCATGATGAGACGTTAGTAACCGGACAATTGTGTCCAGGGTTCAAATGTTAGTGCCATAAAATGCCTTAAAATCAAAACCATTCAGTAACTATTCTTTTCAAAACACTTTAATGTTTATACTATGCAAGCTAAATGGCTAATCCAGAGGAAAATCTTGTTTTAGAGCAGAGAAGGACCAAGGTCCTTGGCTGATGAAAAGAAAAATATGGCTGGACTAAAGTGCCCATACTTGGTCATAAGTATGATGATTTCTAAAACCGGAAGCTTAACTAGATAAAAGAGAAAACTCAATTGTAAATATCAGAAGCTTAGTTGCAAATAACCGAGTTTTCATCATTGTCAATTGCCTAGTTTATGATTTCAGCTAAGCTTCTGAATTTTGAAGTCACTTAACATAAAAAAACATATTGAAAATGAGGTTTCATATAATTTATAACCGTGCTACTAATATTTATAACTGAACTCTTGGTTTTCGAAAGTCACTATGTTTTCAACTGTCAATGCATTTTAGTCTTGCTATTTTTTTGTTTTTGTTTTTTGTTTTTTGTTTTTTTTTAATTTTTGAGTTTGATCAGCCAAGGACCGAGGTTCAAATCCTGGTGAAGTATCATTTCTACTGATCTAGTTAGAGATAATTAGGGATAATATCATTAATGCTTGTTCGTATGACTTGAACAGGTAAAAGAGTATCATAGAAGGGATGGCTTTGAGGTTGGAAATGCTGATAAGATCTTTGAAAGCACATCCAAGGTGCAGTTAAGCAGAACTGGTTCATAAGATGACCAAGCAACATGTGCCCTTTATAACTTTCCTTAGGGGAAGTGTAAGGGAAATTTATATCTGGACAGTCTAGGTTAAATGCTTGTATACGAGGGAAATTATATCTGGACGGTCTGTAGTTCATCTGGGTTCTACCTGTAAAAGTGTGTGAAAATATGGGTATATGTTTGTAATATTTGCAGTTGTTCCTAATCAATGTTTGCACCTACTTAAGTTCATAGAAGAAATGGCAAGTCTCACGATTCCTTTTTGGCAATCACTTACTCCATCCGTCCTAAATCCATCCTAAATGTAAAAGCTAATTTTTTTAACAAAAAAGAATCTGTTTTATTGATTATCCGAAAAAGACTACACTCACGGTCAACAAAGAAAACAAACACCTAGGATACAACCTAAGGAGAAAAGGAAATCAAAGAAACCTAGCATAACAGCCTATAAAAACAAATAAAGCAACAGAGTAAACGAAGAAATTAAGCCAGCACCAACATGATCAGCATGCCCTTCTGCAAAAACCCCAATATTCTTCCTACTATCAGAAGAGTCAGCCATCAAAATATCAACTAAGGGGGTAGGAGCTGTTAACTACCACCAACGTTTCCCTACTTCCTACAGCTGCTAGGAAATCAGCAGCACTATTTCCTTGGCGACCAACCAAGGAGAACTCCACTCCGGCCTTTCCCCAGCTAGCAATAGTACATCCTTCAACACCACATTAGATGCATTCTACTCCTGCAGAACTAACAACCAAACACTTGAAGAGTGCTTCACAATCAATCTCTATACATCATTTTTGCATATGGAATCTGCTGCAAAGCATCAAGTCTTCTTTCAGAGCAATACATTCAGCATCAAAAGCTGCAGTAACTCCACTCTATTCCCAAGACCTCCCAAAAACAAACATGCGTTGCTTCTACATACAATACTCACACCAGCACACTTCAAATGCTCAGAAAATACCCCATTAGCATTGATCTTCACAGTTCCCTCCTCTGGTGCTTCCCATCTTAACTTCCTTCCCACACCTCCGCCCCTCCTCTTGCACCCTTTCCCTATATTAGCAGCTTTTGCACCCCAAACTTCCCATACTAACATGCAGCCATATCAACTGTTCTTTTAGCATCAACATCAACTCCACCAAACATTCAGTTACACCTTCCTTTCCAAATTCCCCAACAAATGCCAACAATGAGGGCTTTATCCTCTTCCGTGATACTTTTGCTGAGCTAGAGCACATCCTCACACCCTTTCATGCTCATGTTTCTGCAAGGAGGGAATTTCATGCTCCCATGCACCAAGCACGAGGATAACTTTTTGTCTTAAATGTAAAAGCTACCAAGGGAATTAATTTTGATTATAAATATAAGATCCCAACTCACTTTGTCTCTAAATTTACAATTTTTTCTCGAAATTATCCTTGCTAATTGTATATATTCAAAGGGTTTTCATCAATGGAGATAGTTTTAATATAATAATCACAAGAGTATTTTAGAAAACAATTAATTTTGTAACAAATAAATGACTTAGCTAACTTATTTAATATATATTAATTATCTATTTCTTTTTTATTGACTGAAATTTGTTATCTACTTGTACATTTAGGATTAACGAAACCACATCACAAGAATCGTGAAATTACAATTAAGAATGTGGAAGTATTTGTTGTGATGTATGGGAATTCAGTGAAAATTTGTCTTAGCCCCTCGATGCTGTGGATGACTAATTGAGGGGCATTTATAGAATGAAATGATAACGGTCGAATTAATTAATTAAATCAAGGATATGATTACAGATGATTCAAATCAAATCAAATTACTATGAAAATGGTATTTCAATTTTAATAGTAGTAATTATCTTAAACTAGATTGAATATAGATTATTTAAATTATTTCGTAAATTGTGCATTAATATCACATTTCAAAGAGATGTTAGAATTGTCGATTACATGGTAATGTGGTTTCCTTACAGAAGCCACACCATCAAGATGATGTCGAAGCATACTATTTAAATACAATATGGATTATGCCTTCAACATTTGGTTTTATATATAAAATATAATAAATTCAGGATATGATTATATGTTATTCAAATCAAATTGCTATGAAAACAAATTGAATTTGCATTGGTAATTAATTCATATACATTAAACATGGATTATTTCATATATTTTCATAAGTTCGGTATTAATATCCCATTTGATTTAGCAGCTAGAAATGTTGAATTTGATTAGCTTAGCTGGCAAGGTGAATTCCTTGCAACATACAACACATCCGACCTTTGAACATTGTTTTATATAATTAATTTGTCATAAAATTTATGTGATTTTTAATATTATCCTTATTAACTATACTAAAATTTAATATTATATTAATTTCTATTCTCTCAAACTACTCTTATTAAGTATAGGCATATATCAGAACATATTTAATTTTCACTGAAACTATCAGAACTCTCTCTCCCCTGGTAGGTTGTCCATATGGGACCTAGGGACTCATGAAGAAAGGAAAAAAGATGAGTGGATCATAGGAGTGTCAAGGCTTGGGGGTGAGGTAGTGTGAGACTTGCAAGAAAAGAGAAGCTCATGGATTCGCCAAAGGAAAGGCTTCATGAATTTGCTAAGAAACGAGGTGGATTGTTTTAATGCAAACCCTAATTACCACTATAAATAGCACATCTACTCACACACACCCCCTATTTTCGCCACACACGAGAAAGAGAGAAGGAAGTGAAGTCTTCTGAGTGATCTTGAGTGTTCTTGGAAACTCTTGGTTGGTCTCTTGAAGGGTAGTGCTGCAAGGAGTCTTAAAGCTTTAAGGTAGTTACTTAACCCGCTTATATTTTAAGCATTGTTTGAATATTATGATATTGTTTAGCTTGCCAAGATGAAAGCATGATGAAGTATTTATATGTTTATTTGCTTATGTATGCATTATTGCCTTGTGTAGATGCTTATGCAAGAACATATATGCTTATGTATACAAGTTCGGTATTGTTATATTCATATACAATGTTGAACATGTATGTGTATATGATGAGTTTGTGCTACTGAGATTTTCCCAAATCTCACCTCTAATCTTCAATAGTTTAGAACCACATTAATCCATGGAGAAAGGAAAGAATGTGGCCAAGGGATGGAAGCTTTATTATCTCCTTTGTTATTGTTGATGCATGCATATGTTTATTTTGAAGGCTATGTTAACATATTTGTATTTATTCGTATAAGATATTTTTGGGATGGTTGTAACCATAAATTAACACTTTGCATGTAAGATTTATCTCCGGATTATGATTTCGGCATTAGGTGACCAAGAATCTATGTTAGATGTTTCCAAGTTAAGTATTGTTTCGGCATTCCAAATCTGGGTACTGTATGTTTATCATTATATTTGGCGTAGTAAATGGGACATTTTTGCTTGGGAAATTTTATATGAAATACTGGACATATGTAGCATTTCAATGAGCTAAGAATAAATAGATTAAGACATCTATAGCACCCATGAAAAATAATACTATTTGACTGAACATTGTGATTTAGGAAAAATAATAAACTATACCAATTGAGCCAATGAAAGTCTTTATTATTTTCTCCTTGTAGAGGACTCTTCAAGCTCTAAAATGAGACTTTAAATATGTTGAAAATATTTTTCTACAATTAGTTATGATTTTAGAAAGATGATTGTCATTTTTTAGAATTTCAAAAAATGTTGCGTTTTAAGAAAAGGTTTTGAAAGTTCATGTTTTTGTCTCATACAAGCTTCTACGGCTTTCCTATTGTTGTGGAAATATAGGGATGAGTTCTAGAAGTAAGGTATTATATTTTTTGTATTAGAGCAAAAGTTATGGCAAACTTTGAAAAATAACCTTTTGCTTTAGAAAACACAGAATATGTGACTTAGTTGCATTCGCCCCTTAGAATAGTCTATGATGCAACTTGGAATTAATTTTAAAGATGTCAGCAAGTGATAGTGATAGAACCCCTAGTTATAAGATTGGTTCAAATAATTACTCAATTGAGAAAAATAACTATTTAGAGTAATTCAAACTGTATATTAAAAGAGCCAAGAGGACATCCATACATAGGACGTGGCCCGAAGGTGTAGGATGATATAACCAGGTAGCGATAGAGACTAATAAATGAAACCATAGAATGGCTGATGGAGGAAAGTCCAGACAAAGATTCCCACTCAACATCGATAGAGATTGTTTTGCTCTCCTCATGGAAAGTTGCTTGAGCTTCGAAGAATGATGGTCAAATGAGGGTTAGACACCCTCAAACTCCTCTTGCTGACTTAACCACGTAGATAGATGAGGAAGATGAGGATGGACTAGAAGTCAAACTTCATGAAAATAATAAATAGGCTCCTGTAGAATAGTACATTAGATAAGGATATAAGCTTTCTCATGTAACTCAGGATGTTATCATCAGGGCAGAATACAGGCATTGGCTCGATCTAATGAGAAGGCAAGATGACTTTGAACCAAAGGGGTACTCTAGTCCCACGATTGATGACGAGTCTAATATATCATTGATAAGTGTGATGGCAATGGCAAAGGATGGAGAAGAGCTATTCAATGAAGGGATCGAAGTCAGATAGATGATAGATATGGACACATGTAGCAGGGTGTATAGGGAGGATGACAACAACAACAAGGAGAAGGAGCAAGAGAAGGAAGAAGAAGAGAAAGGACAAGAGGAAGTTGAAAATTATAACAATGATAGCAGCAAGGTCACTGAGAATGATCAATAAATGGACTAATTCAATGTTGTCGAGGTAACTGATTCCTTAAAAATGAGATTGAAGTACACCAAGTTAGTCACCAAGGTTTGCTCTTTGGATGATTAAGATATTCGCACCAGCTTTAAGGCATTTTATGACTTTAGTATGAAGAATAATCGAGACCCTAATAATCTTATTAAATTATCTGTGGAATGTTCAATATGTGCAACTTCATTAAGTTGTATGGCATTAACTTTGGTGATGAAACATGGAGTTGGATGCTACTTTTAGTGATGCCAAATGACATCTTTTGGGGACATATAAAAGCCAAGCTTCAAGACCACCTAAATATACTATTCTTTGAAGATGTGGTCATAGAGTTAATATTGCAGGAAGAGAGGACAATTATAAAAATTGGAAGAAAATTGTAACACTACTCAGTTTCTAACTTTGAGAGGTGCTTGAGGTGTAGGGCATAGAGACAAAGAAACTAGCTCAAAAAGAGGGTTAATAAATACTTTAATGAAGTATTTCCTATTTG